TATTCGAATCTGTATAGTGGGTCATCCATACATTATATCTTCATTAGACGATTTAAATATTACAAAATGTGTAACACACCTCGATTTTTATAATTAAGTGTCGGTTTGACCTTGCGGACTCCTACATGTTCCTTATGATGTAATCTAGTGAGACTATCAACTAAGCAAGAAGGTGGAGTGAAAGTATTTTATTTCCTACGCCAAAGAATTAAACAATTTTTAAGAAAAGTAGGGTGGTTCTTAAAATTAACTAGTAAAGTAAGATCTATTTGGGACCCAAGGGACAATCCGGTTGACAAGGACTTGGGGTCGTTTGGTCATATTGGCTTAGAGGTCTCAAGTTCAGACCTTCTAGTAAGTTTAATACCAAAAAATCTCTGATGTCTACCGGGTTCGGACCTTGGGACAGGCGCGGGTGCCCCTAGGTATAGGGGAGGAAAACTTTGACTCCCAATTATCAAAAAAAAAAAAAATGTACGATCTATTTGGGAATGTACTTCTTCATATTTTCACTTTTTGGATTCTATCCAAATATCGCATATGAATAGAGCTAAATGCTTTCCCCTCATTCATCTATTCCTGAATATATTAAGGTTCTTACTCTTATTCAAATTAACTTCCCATCTTTAAAGCTGGCTTTCCTCAACAATCTTTTTATTAGAACACATCTTGAGATATTGCTTGTTATATCTTTGAATGTTATGATATTGTGCACTTGAAACTTTGGTGCACATAGTTTTACTTTTGTATTCTACCCAAAAAGCATCATGTTGAAAAATTATTAATAATATCTCGAAAAGTTCAAATTTACTCCAACCTATCAACTTAAAATTTTAAGCGTTCATTTAATGATATTAAAGCAAAAGATTGTGAGTTCAAGTCCTGTAACATCATTACCCCAATACCTAGTTTGTATTAATAGTTTTATTGTTAGCCTTAAACTAACATCCAAGTAAAATAAAATTATGGGTGGTCATAGGAAATCATTTGTTATACACTCGATTTATTAATATTTTCATATATATTCAAATTTTATTTATTCTCCAGCCTTTTTCTCTAATATAGAGAGAGTAAGAGAATGAGGCAGATGGAGATAAACAACATTGCTTATGATGATACAAATTAAAAGTTATGGGCAATTCATCACGTCAACGAAAACTAAGCAAGCCACATGATAACAGGACAATATGTTATAAGAAACTGAGAAGTTTACATTATTTTACTAGAGATATGGCATTGGCTTGAGATGGAGGGGAATTTTCTTGCAAACGGTTATCCCATTCTCTTCTTCAGCATCCAAAACACAGCCATCAGGAAGCTCCCAATCAAACCAATAGAGAAGACTTGCCAACACAAATTCAATGGAAGTAATCCCAAATAAAATTCCAGAGCATTTCCTTCTCCCGCTCCCAAATGGAATGAACTCAAAGTCATGACCTTTGTAATCAATTGAGTTCTCTGTGAATCTCTCTGGGATGAACTCATGTGGCCTTTCCCAAATCTGGGGGTCCCTTTGAATTGCCCAAACATTCACAAAAACGTTGGTTTTTGATGGGATGTGGTAGCCTCCAATCTTGACATCTCCCAATTTTTGTCGAGGCACTAGTAAAGGAGCAGGTGGATGTAGTCTTGGAGATTCCTTTACCACACAGTGCAGGTACTCCATCTTTCCAGTATCTTCCATTTCAAACTTCGGATTCTTTCCAATTATTTTTCTGACCTCTTCTTGGACTTTCTTCATGGCGGCCTGATTTCTCATCAGCTCAGTCATTGTCCATTCCATAGCTGTTGCAGTAGTGTCGCTCCCAGCTATGAACATGTCCTGCAATTTGAAAACAAAATTGGCTCAATTTAAATTGCTTCTCTTGTGTTTGTGTGTATAGGCAAGAGAGATCTGAGAAAAACCTGTAAGATTGCTTTGAGTTCATCTCGAGTGAAATGATAGTTGAGCGTATCATCCTGCTGTAGTTGCAACAAGATATCCACAAAATCCTTTTTACCATAAGAAGATTGACCACTTTTACTCATCTTTGTCTTGTGTTCTTCAATGATCTCATCAAAGAATTCATCCATTTTTTTAGAAATCTTTTTCAGCTCTCCAATGAACCCTCTAAGTACATCAACCCATCCAAAAGCAGGGAAGAAATCTGCAACACAAAAAGTTGAAATTAACACTTGAATCCTTCTCGACGCATCTCGAAATTCGCTCTTCCCATTTTCATCCTCAAACTTCTCTCCAAAAACACACCTCGAAATTATATTATTTTGAGATGGACGCGAACAGTTGCTTGAGATTCACGGCCTCCTCCCCACCGACACAACCTTCACGAATCCTATTGATAAGCACTTCAACTTCCTCATCTCTCACATACTGAAACGACTCCACTCTTTTGGCACTTAAAAGCTCCAAAACGCACATTTTCTTGGCTTGTCTCAAGAACTCTCCATATGGGGCAAAAGCCATGTCTTGGCAATCGTACAGCAAGATCTTTGCGGCCGTAGTTCGGACCCTGTTGCAGAATTTGATGTCATGTGTCTTCATCACTTCTCTAGCCATTTCTGCAGAGGAAACCACCAGAGTTGGGGCCTGCCCCAGCTTGAGGAGCATGAGAGGCCCATATTTGTTAGAAAGAGCTGCCAGAGATTGGTGTGGCAGTGTTCCTAACTGGTGGAGGTTGCCGATGATGGGAAGTTTGGGAGGTGAGGGAATGAAATTTTTGGTGTTTTTGGCTCTGAAAAACTTCCTTAAGACAAGGAAGAAGAAGAAGAAGAAAAGGAAGAGAGAAAAAGGGATGAGATTGAAGTGGAAGGTGCCTCCATATGGAGCTTGAAGTTGTCGCCAATGTTGCTGAAATTTTGACAACTGATCCATTTTCTCCAGTCTGAGAAGTGAGAAGTCTGCAAATCCTTGAAAGCTTTATTTATTTATAGGGAAATGAAATGAAATTATGTTAAAGTATAGTATAGTCCATGCAGGACATGCTTTTAGCTACCCTGGAACTATTTGTCCGCCTTGTAATTTGGTACTAATAAAGTTAGAACCCCATCATAAGAATATCAAGGAAAAGATATATAATTTCTAAAAGCTAACCGTTGACATGGAGCATGGAGAGGGAGGTGCAGTAAGAAAGAAAAAGAACTACCCAAAAAAACTTCCACAGAGGCCGTTTTGATAGGAGGTTTTAAAAAGTAGTATAGGATAAAGTTATCGATTCGAACTCATAATCTCTTGATTAGAGGTATATGACAATTACCGTTAAACTATGCTCGTTTTGACAATTATCTACGTACTTGAGATTAAGATGTGTGATTAACATAATTGAAAATAAATTATATAAATTATTTTTGTTAGTATAATATAAATTAAAATATTTTAAGCACAAAACTCAGGATAAACCTATGAAAATGGTAGAGAAAAAGAAAGTCTTGTAGGAGTAATAATTGATGCTTGCGAATACGTGAGTTCCGGGTAAAATATTTAAAATTGTGTACCAAATATGGATTTAATTTATCTGTGCCAATTTCCACTCAAACAAAACCTCAAGCCTGAGGGCCCATAAATTAAAAATAATAGATTCTTTAAATTAAATTAAAATAATAAAAAAATAAAGTAAAGATAATAGATTCTTTAAATTAAATTAAAATAAAATAAAATATGGGAAAACCAACTCCCAAGCGGCAGGCGCTCTACATTCAACTGCACAACATTTAATTATAAGTTGGTCAGTTTCTTATAAATTTCTTGGCCTGACTGACTCGCTTCAATTCAGCCGGTTTCGTCAAAGTTCAGTGATAATTGACATATATATCTCAAACCAATAAGTTGTGAGTTCGATCTCTACTTCCATATGTTATACTTAAAAAAATAATTGATCGGTTTCATTCTTAATATGGTTGATCTAAAATCGGTTAAGGAAGATAGAGGGGAAGGAGTAAGATGTAAGAGAAAGGGTCATAGGAATGTTTACGGGGTAGGACGGGGTTCCCCGTCCTAGTCCCCAACTCCTATTTAATTCTCCATGAAATTTCATGGGGATCGGGGTTGGAATTTTTTGTGGAGAATTTGCGGGGATTGGATTCCCTCGGGGAATAATTCCCATTTATTTTTTTAATTTTTAAAACTATTTCTCAGTTAAATAGAATTTTAAAATTTTCTTACTATTGCTTTATGTTCCATGATAAAACTTCATTTTTACATGGTTTAATTCTTTCCCACACACATCGTCCAGGTAATGGGAAAAATTGTATACTTGTATTTAGTATGTATATAAACAATATAGTTTAATAATATATTTGTAAATAAGTGGTAGTTACCAACTAAATATTTAGCTTAATCTAAAACAATATTGATAAATTTATTAACATTTTTGTTATAAGCTTTGTAGAATTATTATTTTACAATATTATATAATTTATAATATATTATATTTTACATGTTTTAGTTTAAAAAAAATTAGAAAAAGAAATGAGTTTATAACATGATTTTTTAAAATGCAAAATTTGCATTTTAATGTTTCAAATTCAATTTTTTTTAGTACAACATGTTGGGGAGGGGATCGAACAAAAGATTTGTTTTAAGAATTTTCATTATTTATCACTTAATATATGAAAACAAATTTCAAAACACATCTTTTAGATTTCATGCCAAATAGGATCTTAAATGTCTGGAAACTTTAGTGATCTCTTGGAGTTGGCGTTTGAGTAATTATAGTCTCAAGAATTAGGAGGGGATGGGCAAGTAACCTAATGCAAGAAGTTTGACATCCAAATTAACTTGTTAGTGTGATTTTATCCATGCACTTCTCCATTCCATTCTTTAGATAAGAATTCATTTTCTCTCCAAAATTTGATAGTTATTTAATTTTTTTGAAAAATAAGGAAAAAATTCTCTCTTTCTCTCAATTTATGCATTCTTCCCTCTCTTAGTAGGACAAATGTACTAAATGGGAGAAAATGGTGCCACACTCCTAGAAAAAGAAATAAGCAAATGGACTTCAACTATTTTAGTCCCAAACGATGCAAAAATTCAGGTTGGACAATTTAAGTACTTATAAAACCGAAGTTAATTTGCAACCCAACCCAATCCAGCCCTTATATTTTCGGGTTGGGTCTGATTGGGTCGTCTGCCTGAGATGGAGGGGACGACAAGAGTGAATGAGATGAAGAAAATAGGAGAGAACATGACGATGAAAATCTACTCTGTCCTGGCAAAGTAGTTGGACTTCTCATGGGCTTCAGCGACAACATCGCTAACAAATGGCAAGCATGAGGAGAAAGGATGGGAGAGGGGAGGATATGCAAGTCTTAAAACGAAAAAAATAAATTAATATAGAATACAATTCGGTTCGGAATAAATCAATTAAAAAATTTTCCAAATCGAGAATTGAATCGAAGTTTTGGTTTTATAAAAAAATCAACCCAACATAAATTGATTTTTTTTAAAACCAAACTCAACCCTGGTTTAAGTTGAGTTGTCCGGATTACTCAAGTTACCAAGTTTTTTGAACACCTAGATTAGTTTCTAGTAAAGAAAAAAGATCAATGCTGAAACGACTAGAAATTGTGGTTAAATAAGCTAAATTGAAACAAACACACAATTCCGAACTACAGGTTAGTCATGTTTAGGTTTTTTCATCCTCCTACATCATAATTAAAATTTAATTTACCATAATATATCTGTTTAATTTTTTTGAATTAACGGTACTTAAACATAGTTCCAAAGCTTAAGATGGTGAATTCAAACCCTTAGTAGTAAGAGACGAATAATTTTTTTATTTCTACAATGATATGATAGTTCACTTTAAATATAATTTTTGTGATTTTACTTTTGATTTTATCGAAAAGATCTCAAAGAGTAGAGATATTTTTCATTTATGATATTCCCTTTATTTATCCAGTCAACATCAACTTTGGCCGCATGCCAAAAAGTTGTCATCATCGACCCGTTCTCTAGTTTTGGTGGGAGTGGTTAAGAAAATTTAAAAAATTAAGTAAATAGAAAGGGGAGAGGGTATGATTGATAAATAGTTTGTCTTTATTGATTGATTCATTTTGAAGAGTGAAAGGACAGATTTTTTTAGTCGAAAGAGATCTCCTGATCAATTATAAATTTATAATATGTAACCATGTGCGTCTCATTCTAATTTTTAATTGGATCGTTTAGGGCAGAAATTTGAATACACCCCTAATAAATGAAACAATATTAGGTTTTTGTTAAATAAATTAGTGAAAATAATCATYTGAAATGACCAAAAGTATATATTTTTTTATATATATACAAAATAGAATAATTGTATACACGACAAACCATAGTTTAGGCAGGAAAAGTTATATAATTTTCAAATCTTCATTACATGTTAAAGAGTTGCTTCAAACTTGGAAAAAATTTATAGTATTACTCTTTTCCTTCAGTGTTTACTACAAATGAAATGGAATTAATCAACGTTAAAAGATAATTTATAGAGATAAAATTAGACTATAATATTCTCTTAGTATCCAAAATTTTCTTTCCATCAACACCCGACAAAAGGAAAAAAAAAACGTCAATAGAAATTATAGCGTATATATATTCAATTATTTTTGTTTTTGTTCTAAAAAAATAAAAAGAAAGAACCATCTTTTTTTTTTTTGTTTGGATAAATTTATTATTTTGAAATGCATGACGTGGCCTACACAGGAAGGGCAATTTTCTCAATTAAATTTTGGCCCATACTATAAAATTAAAAAAGGTAGGAAGCTAGCTATTTTTTTTTCAAAAGAAAAAAAAGGAAGCTATTTAATTCTACGACAACATATTTTTTAATTTTTATTATTATTATTTTTTTTTTTGGAAGGAAAAGGACGATTCATTAAAGAAACTTGAAAGCATACAAAATAATTGAAATGACGAATGACAGATATTGACCCAATGTAAAGAGATATTTTTTTCTAAAATATAAATATGTTGAATTAAATAAAAAACGAACATAATTCAACGATAATTAACATATAAGTCCCACCAAGAAGCTGTGAGTTCTATTCACAATCTAACGTTGTTGTACTCAAAATAACATGTTGAATCAAATCTACATACTTTTGGTCTAATTAAACTATATTCTGGTTGGCAATAATACAAATAGATAATATACCATTTTTAATAATTTGAAATTTAATTTCAAAATTGTCATTTTAATGATGTAAGAAAATATTATGAACAATATTTAGGTATTGATTACCGCTAAAATTTTGATACTAATAAAAAGAAATATAAAATAAGATATACTTTTCTCTTGTTATTTTATATCAATTCTGCCTCCGAGTACTTATTCCTTTGGTATTCTCAAGTAGCACCATAATTTTTCATTAAAATTTTTTCTTTTTTAATGTTATTAGACTCTACATCTCCTTTGGTTTTCTCAAAGTAACACCAAATTTTTCATTAAAAAATAATTCTGACCCTAACTCATTTAATTAGAAGACATTAATGCTCGTATAAATTTAAAGTTAAAAGACTGACCCATCATTCACCCTACTCAAAATGACAGCACCCTAAAAAACCAAAATATATTTATATAACTTAGACCATAATTATATTAAGGTGCCCCCACGCACATGACAATTTAATTAATTTGATAAGGTATATGGTATGGGGTTGAGATGGAGAGGGATTTTCTTGCGAACAGTGAGCCCATTTTCTTCTTCAACGTCCAATTCAGAGCCATTAGGGAGCTTCCAATCGAACCAATGGAGAAGATTTGCCAATGCACATTCAAAAGAAGCAAGCCCAAATGACATTCCAGGGCACTTTCTTCTCCCACCCCCAAATGAAATGAACTCATACTCATCTCGCCCATACTCATCTCGCCCTTTCTGACCACCTGAGTTCTTCTCCATGAATCTCTCTGGAATGAACTCGTTCGGCCTTTCCCAGATCTTGGGATCCCTTTGAATTGCCCAAACATTCACAAAGACTCTAGCTTTCGATGGAATGTGGTAGCCTTCAATCTCCACATCTCCCATTGTTTCTCGAGGAATCAGTAGAGGGAGTGGTGGGTGTAATCTTAGAGATTCTTTTATCACACATTTCATGTACTCCATTTTCTCAATATCTTCCACTTCAATCCTTGCCTTCTTCCCAACTACTCTTCTCACTTCTTCTTGTACTTTGTCCATGGCTGCTCGGTTTCTCATCAGCTCTGTCATCGTCCATTCTAAACCCGTTGCAGTCGTGTCACTTCCACCCACAAACATATCCTGAAGATGATTAAATTTTCGAAACATGGTATTAGATTAGGAGACCGTGTTAATTTTGTGTTTGAACTTCTGTAATATCATTTTCTAGAACGAAAAAAAAAACAAACCATTACGATTGCTTTGAGATGATCGAGAGAGAAATGATAGTCCACTTTTTCACCCTGCATCAGCTGCAACATGATATCCATAAAATCCTTCTTAGATTCATCAGATTCACCACCGGCTCTCATCTTGGCCATGTGTTCTTCAACCACCTTACTCAAAAACGCATCCAAAGTTGTGAAGCATTTTTTCAGCTCCCCATCGAACCCTCTAACCACATCGATCCACCAAAGAGCAGGCAAGAAATCCGCAAAACAAAACGCCGTGATTATCACCATAGCCCTTCTCGATATGTCTCCAAATCTGCTCTTCCCATTCTCATCCTCAAATTTGTCTCCCATCATACATCTCGACACAATATTGTTCGAGGTCGACAAAAACAGCTCACAAAGATTCACAGATCCCTCACCATCACAGCCTCTACGGATCCTATCCACGAGCACAGCAACTTCCTCATCTCTCACGTACTGAAACGACTCCACTCTTTTAACACTGAAGAGTTCAAGAGCGCAGATTTTTCTGGCTTGTCTCCAGTAGTCACCATATGGGGCAAAAGCCACATCATGGGATTGGTAGAGCAAGATGTTGGCGGCCGTGGATAGGGGCCTGCTGGAGAAATTGAGGTCATGGGTCTTCATCACTTCTCTAGCCATTTCTGCAGAGGAAACCACCAGAGTTGGGACCTGGCCGAGCTTGAGGAGCATGAGAGGCCCATGTTTATCAGAAAGAGCTGCCAGAGATTGGTGTGGGAGTGATCCTAATTGGTGGAGGTTGCCGATGATGGGGAGTTTGGGCGGCGATGGAGGCAAGTTTTTGGTGTTGTTTTTGGGTTTGAAGAGCTTCAGCAACACTAGGAAGAAGAAGATAAGGCAGAGGGATAAAGGGATGAGATCAAATTTTGATATTGGATACATCTTCTTTGTAAACGGTGTGGGTCGTTTCAGAGTTTCAAGTTCATTTCCAGCGCTGATCTATTTATTTAGAAAAATACTTGCTGTTTGTAAGTCTCTGCAGTTAATTTTGGTGGGTACTATTCAATTTTTGACAAATAAAATAGAGAAAGGTTAAAAAATATCCAAAAAAACTGTCAAAATTCTTATCAGCCGTCGACACAAGGATGGTACTAATTATTGTAAAATCTATTTGTTTAATTAGATGCACATTCTCCAAAATTTCCTTGTTTTATTATTCATCAACATGACACTCATCATCAACAAACTCACAACATCTAATTTACCGAGTTCACGACACCTATACAAAATTCTTGTAGGTGTTGTCTTATTCTCAAGTCTTTGTAACTTATAAATATAAAAACGTTTATTGCTGCAGTTGATGTATATAAAAAAGAAAAAGAAAAATCCAAAGATTATACAGAGAAATTAATTTGATAATTCAGAATGATAAGAGTGAAGGGAGATGGAGACAATACATTACAGACAGGACATCATCACCCCATGAAAACCAAACTACATGATACATAACACAAAACAATATTATTATATAATAAAGTGCATATGCTCCCACGTGAGAATGGGAATTTACTTCTTTTAATTAGATGTATATTGGCTTCAAATGGAGAGGCATTTTCCTGCGAACAGTGACCCCATTTTCTTCTTCGACGTCCAACGCATCGCCATTAGCAGCAGAGAGCTTCCAATGGAACCAATATAGAAGATTTGCCAATGCATATTCAAAAGAAGCAATGCCAAACAACATTCCAGGACATATCCTACTCCCACTCCCAAAAGGGAATGAAATCAAAGTCTTGACCTTTATAATCGACAGAATTCTCCATGAATCTCTTTGGAATAAATTCGTTTGACCTCTCCCAAATATTGGGATCTCGGTGTATTTTTCAAGCATTCACAAACACTCTTGTTTTTTAAGAAATGTGGTAGCCTTCAATCTCCACATCTCTCCACATCTCCCAACGTTGCTGCACCAATAGAGGAAATGGTATCTTCCATTTCAATCTTTGCCTTCTTTCCAACAAATTTTCTTATCTCTTGGTTTCTTAGCAACTCCATCATTGTCCATTTCAAACCTGCTGCAATTGTGTTGCTTCCACCTACAAACATGTCCTACGATCCAAAATTTTCAGAAGGGTTTTTAGTCTATTTGGCTCTCCTCCAGATTAGAGGTGAAGTCAACCCCTTTTTTTCGTAATCTCTTTTTTATTCTACCTTAAACGAGATAGATAGATTAAAGCAGTAGGAGAGAAAACAAACCAATACAATTGCTTTGAGACTGTCACGAGAGAAATGACAGTCAACCATGTCATCCTGCATCAGCTGCAACATGCTATCCATAAAATCCTTTTTAGATTCATCAGAATAATTGACCACCACCTCTCATCTTGGCCTTGTGTTCTTCAACCACCTTACTAAAAAACGCATCCAAAGTTGTGAAGCATTTTCTCAGTTCCCCATTGAACCCTCTAACCACATCGACCCACCGAAGAGCAGGAAAGAAATCCGCAAAACAAAACGCCGTGAACAGCACGATAACCCTTCTCGATCCAAATCTGCTCTTCCCATTTTCATCCTCAAATTTCTTCCCCAAAATGCATCGAGACACTATATTGTTTGAGGTCGACAAAAACAGCTGACTAAGATTCGCAGATCCCTCACCATCACCACCAACACAGCCTTTACGGATCCTGTTGACGAGCACAGCAACTTCCTCGTCTCTCACGTACTGAAATGACTCCACTCTTTTGACACTAAATAGTTCAAGAGCGCAGATTTTTATTGCTTGTCGCCAATACTCACCATATGGAGCAAAACCCACGTCTTTGAAGTCGTAGGTGAAGATCTTTGCAGCCGTAGTTTGAGGCCTGTCGGAGAATGTGAGGTCATGGGTCTTCATCACTTCTCTAGCCATTTCTGCAGAGGAAACCACAAGAGTTGGGACCTGGCCGAGCTTGAGGAGCATGAGAGGCCCATGCTTATCAGAAAGAGCTGCCAGAGATTGGTGTGGGAGTGATCCTAATTGGTGGAGGTTGCCGATGATGGGGAGTTTGGGCGGCGATGGAGGTAAGTTTTTGGGTTTGTAGAGCTTCAGCAACACGAGGAAGAAGAAAAAAAATGCAGAAAGTGAAAGGGATGATGAGATCAAAGTGATTGGTTCCTCCGTAGGAATTTTGAAATTGTTGCCAAAGTTGCTGAAACTTTGATATTGGATCCATCTTCTTTTGGTCAACGGCTTGGGTTTCAGAATTTCAAGCTCCTTTCCAGCTCTATTTACTTATAGGCACATACATATAGTCTTTGAGACTTAGCTTGAGTATAAAGGTAAAACAAACAAAAAGTTCAACTACTTGATATCAATTGAGTTTTCTAAAATTTCTTGGAGAATATAAAAATTTTAAAGAGTTATTGAAACTGAAATTGAAGAGCTCAACAACATAAATTAGCAAAAGTTAGTAACTAAACTTGCTTCTACGGACAATATATATGGAAATGAGTAGATTTTTAAGAGTTCTTTTATGTTGAAGAAATTAGCTGCTATAAATTTGGCCTTTACTGATGGTTAAAAAATGTCAAAAATGATGGTATCAACCTTTTCAAAATATCAAACTTTTCCTTTTTGTTAACGTTATTTTGACCATCAAATATAATTAACTCGACGGCTTTTACATGTCAATTCTAACAAAAAAATATGTCAATTATTATACCCTTTTTATTGACGTTTATCAATCGTGGTCGTAAGAAATTATTGACGTTTTCAACCATCAACTTCCCTATTTTTGTTGGCATTTTATAGTTGAATGACTTTCAACCCGTCACAATCTTCTACGATGGTATTTGGAATGAGAAAAATCACCACAATATCTTTAAAATCATAAACCAAACATATATAAGCTATGCAAATTCAAAAAAATTCAATACACACAAATTTAGGCTTCTTGAAAAGCGAGTACAAGAGTTCTACCCTTCGCTCTCTCCTTTCCAAGATTATAGAGAGAAATTAATTTGATAATAGTTCAGCATGTGGCAGTGTGACCGAAGGGAGATGGAGACAAATTCATTACAGACACAGACAGGAAATATGACATGTATGACACAAAAAACAATATTGTTATATAACAAAGTGCATGCTCCCACATGACAATTTTCTTTATTTTAATTTAGATGTATGATATTGGGTTCAAATGGAGAGGAATTTTCTTACGAACAGTGAGTCCATTTTCTTCTTCAACATCCAATTCTTTAGATCCATGAGGGAGCTTCCAATCGAACCAATATAGAAGATTTGCCAATGCATATTCAAAGGAAGCAATCCCAAACGACTTTCCAGGGCATATCCTTCTCCCACTCCCGAAGGGAATGAAATCAAAGTCTTGACCTTTGTAATCAATTGAATTCTCCATGAATCTCTCTGGAATGAACTCGTTTGGCCTCTCCCAGATGTTGGGGTCTCTGTGTATTTTCCAAGCATTCACGAACACTCTTGTTTTTGATGGGATGTGGTAGCCTTCAATCTCCACATCGCCTATAGCCTCTCGTGGCACCAATAGAGGAACTGGTGGGTGGAGTCTTAGAGATTCTTTTATCACACAGTTCATGTACGGCATATTTTGAATGTCTTCCATTTCAATCTTTTCCTTGTTTCCTACAATTTTTCTAACTTCTTCTTGAACTTTTTTCATGACTGATGGGTTTCTCATCAGCTCTGTCATCGTCCATTCCAAACCCGTTGCAGTTGTGTCGCTTCCACCTACAAACATGTCCTGCAATCCAAAATTGAAAAAATGGTTTTAGCCTATTTGACAATCTGATCTCAGAGGTGAAGTTAAGAACTCGTTTTGTAACGTTCCTGTTTTTTGTTTTTTTTCTTCATTTCTACTCCAGAAAAATGAATTGCATGGCTTCAACATCGATRAATTAAAATATGATGAAACAATATTTTAATTTATGTTTTGGAACAAATTGGGAACACGAATAAGAAAGGAAAAACTTGTTTTTGTTGTTTCCAAAATTTCTTCACAATCTTTGAAAATGTTCTAGAAAAGAAAAAAAAAGAAACATAGTTAGTTGCAAAATACTAAAATTTATTAGGAAAATTGGGAACAAGAAACAAGAAACAAGGAACAGAACCATAAGTCATAAAATTTTTCCTTTTATTTCTTTTTTTTTTTTAAGGAGATAGATTAAAGAAGCAGGAGAGAAAACAAACCAACACAATTGCTTTGAGATTGTCTAGAGAGAAACGATAGTCAACCATGTCATCCTGCAATATCAGCTGCAACATGCTATCCATAAAATCCCTTTTAGATTCATCACATAATTCACCACCACCTATCATCTTAGCCTTGTGTTCTTCAACCACCTTACTAAAAAACGCATCCAAAGTTGTGAAGCATTTCTTCAGTTCCCCATTGAACCCTCTAACAACATCGATCCACCAAAGAGCAGGAAAAAAATCCGCAAAACAAAACGCCGTTAATAGCACCATAACCCTCCTCGATATGTCTCCAAATCTGCTCTTCCCATTTTCATCCTCAAATTTGTCTCCCATCATACATCTCGACACAATATTGTTCGAGGTCGACAAAAACAGCTGAGCAAGATTCACAGATCCCTCACCATCACCACCAACACAACCTCTACGGATCCTGTTGACGAGCACAGCAACTTCCTCGTCTCTCACGTACTGAAATGACTCCACTCTTTTGGCGCTAAAGAGTTCAAGAGCGCAGATTTTTCTGGCTTGTCTCCAGTACTCGCCATATGGAGCAAAACCCACGTCTTTGAAGCCGTAAAGCAAGATCTTTGCAGCCGTAGTTTGGGGCCTGTCGGAGAAATTGAGGTCGTGGGTCTTCATCACTTCTCTGGCCATTTCTGCAGAGGAAACCACCAGAGTTGGGGCCTGGCCGAGCTTGAGGAACATGAGAGGCCCATGTTTATCTGAAAGAGCTGCCAGAGATTGGTGTGGGAGTGATCCTAATTGGTGGAGGTTGCCGATGATGGGAAGTTTGGGCGGCGATGGAGGGAAGTTTTTGGTGTTGTTTTTGGGTTTCAAGAGTTTCAGCAACACGAGGAAGAAGAAGAAAATGCAGAGAGAAAAAGGGATGAGATCAAATTGTTGCCAAATTTGCTCAAACTTTGATATTGGATCCATCTTCTCCGTCAATGGCGTGGGTTTGAGAATTTCAAGTTCCTTCAACCTCTATTTATTTATAGCCCACATGCATAGACTTTAAGACACTTTTTTTTTATACAGACTTTAAGACTTGAGTATAAAGCTAAAAAAAAAAATAATAATAAAAAATTTCAACTAGTTCGTAGCCATTAAAAATTTGTTGGAGAATAGATCAGTAGTAACTAACATATATCAAGGTTGTGAATTCAATCCCGACCTATCCCATATTCCAAAAAAGAAAAAACTGTTGGAGAATATAAAAATATGAAAGAGTCAATTGAATAAAATGGAAAGTGATAAAATACAAATTAGTAATTATTGTGCTTAAAATTAATTAATCTTATATTGGAAAATACCTGCTTCTCAACAATGAGAAGGAACTGTTGTAAAAGACAGAGAGACAAGAATGAATTGTCAAATATCTAATGGTGATGAGGACAAACTTCATCGAGAAGCATGATCTATTTCAATGATAAGATTGTAGCTACATGATAGTCGTGAATACTTTGACTTATAAGCAGATACCTATAGGTTCTCAAATACTCACTCAAAGAAAATATATATATATATCATTGATTTCTTTAAATATATTATATACTGGTCTTGATCGGATGACAAAGAAAGGCAAAGAAAAATGAGGATACGAACCAAAGATGCGTGTTATGGAAAATGGCATTTAATTTTTAAAACGATATCATTAAATACACATTGGTCAAATTATTTTTTTGAAAAATATAATAAACAAACTATCAATCATTGTGTTATTTAAAATGAAGATGCTCATCATGTTTGGTATATATAGATTATTACTCTCATAAATATACAAAAGAAAGTTCAGATTCAGAGATGTGAGATTAAAAAGAATGGGCGTGGAAGAAGTTTGGAACAGCATCGTCGATGGGCATATTTTACGAGGGCTATTATTTTAGAAGAATTTAATCTTTGACTTTTGCTTATCTCATTTTGATAATATGAATTATGGGATTTTCTTATTGTGGAGATTTAATTTTTGATGTTTGTTTATGAAATTTTTTACCCCCGTGACTATTCTTTTCAACTATACACGATGGAATAATCTATTTCGATATATAAAAGGGGACAAATTTGAAAAATCTATTAGGGAAGAGAGCGTTGAATAAGTTGGAATCATCCCTTACCAACTATGGGATAAGTTGAATGTTAAGGTCTTGTTGAAAATAGTCGAAAGTCAATGTGATGAGTTTAAGTGGAAGGTTAGTATTGGGACCTTGGGAGGAAATGACAAAGGCCAATATATTGTAAAGTCATCGAGGTCATGCAGCAGTATGAGGATTTGGATAAAAATAGTCAATAATAGTCAATATGTTGCAAAGTCATCAAGACTTTAGCCAATAGTAGTCAATGATTGATGTAGCAGTTTGAGATATTGGATACCTGGTTCTGTAGGAGAAGTGTCGAAGCCCTAAGTAGAAATGATTAGAGGTCGGTACAACTATAAAGAGTAAATATGGAGGAACAAGAAAGCATTAGAAAGAGTTTGTTAGAGTTAAAAACTCTAATGAGGCTCGAAGAATTGTGTTTTGCAAATCAAATGAGCTTCAATTTTTGCCAACCTAACTATAGTTTAATGGCTAGAGTATTATAATCTTCTTTTATCGGTCAAAATTTCGAATTCCTTCCCTACTTTTGACGAACTATTTATGTTTCTCATTTTTTTTAGAAATAATCTCAAAATTGTATAATAATTTTAGGAACAACAAAAATAAGTTTCTTGCTTTCGTTCCTAATCTATTCCAACATAAAAATAGTTTTTATAAAAAAAGAGGAAATAGAAACTAGAAACGGAAAACGTTCCCGAACGTGCCTATATTTCAACTCTATATCTAAGATTTACGAAATTAAAGGACGCCCATCTAATGACCCCGTCATTAAATAATTCTTGTTTCCTTGTGTTTAAGCTCCATTCTTTTCCTATCTCAACTCTGCCACTTATGAATGATTGGCATACGAAGTTATTCATTATAAAATATCAATATTTTCGTGTACATTCAAACTTTTTTATTTATTAATTCAGTAGATAAGACAAATTATTATTATTACGTGTCAATGATTTGAGTTTCCGTATATTTTTTTTAAAATCATTATTTTGAAATGCGTGAAAACCCATACTATATGGTCTCGTCTTCGAGCAACATTATCTTTTTGGCTAATACTGTCAGACCCATTTGGTAAATTTATCTCTCTCCCCAATTCATTTTTCTTTCTTTTTTTTTTTTTCTAATTTACAGTCACATGCATATTATTGGGAATATAAATGTATTGATGTAAATTGATTATAATATAATTTATTGTCGTTGAAAAATTGGAATGGAAAATAGATCCATTGTATAGAGTTATTTAGCAGGAAAAAAACCAACTTTTCATTCTAATAATTTTTTTTTTTCTGAATAAGAGTAAAGATTCCAACCATGTGATATTAAATAGGATTTCTTCATTCCACAATTATTGAACTAAAAAAATTAATTTTAATGTTGATACCAAAGTATTAATTCCAGTATAGGATTAGATATATAGCAACCTAATAACAAAACTACATGAATTTAATTATTTTTAGCGAGAGGAGTTTTACCCTTCACTCTCTCGAAGTTTTCTCGATGAGCAAAATCTTTCAAAGATTATAAAGAGAGAAATTAATTTAATAAAATAACACACAGAATCATAGAAGGAGATGAAGAAAATACATTTATGCTTATTATATAAACTAAAGCTTACAGACAGGACATCACCTACTGAAATCCAAAGCACATAATACATGAACCAAAATAACATTATTATTATATTATATAACAAAGTGCTCCCAAATCATAATTTACTTTGCTTAATCAAATGTATGAAATATTGGGTTCAAATGGAGAGGATTTTTCTTACGAACAGTGAGCCCATTTTCTTCTTCAACATCCAATTCAAAGCCATTAGGGAGCTTCCAATCGAACCAGTATAGAAGATTTGCCAATGCATATTCAAAGGAAGCAATCCCAAATGACATTCCAGGGCATATTCTTCTCCCACTCCCGAAGGGAATGAACTCGAAGTCTTGACCTTTATAATCAACTGAATTCTCCATGAATCTCTCTGGAATGAACTCGTTTGGCCTCTCCCAAATGGTGGGGTCTCTGTGTATTTTCCAAGCATTCACAAACACTCTTGTTTTTGAAGGAATGTGGTAGCCTTCAATCTCCACATCGCTTATAGCCTCTCGTGGCACCAATAGAGGAACTGGTGGGTGGAGTCTTAGAGATTCTTTTATCACACAGTTCATGTAGTGCATCTTTCGAATATCTTCTATTTCAATCTTTGCCTTCTTTCCAACAGTTTTTCTGACCTCTTCTTGGACCTTTTCCATGACCGGTGGGTTTCTCATCAACTCCGTCATTGTCCATTCCAAACCTGTTGCAGTCGTGTCGGTTCCACCTACAAACATGTCCTGCAATTCAAAATCGAAAAAGAATTAGGGTTGAATCACCACTAAACTTAAATTTTAAGCGTTACAAAATTAAACCATATGATAAGAGAAAACATGTCCGGCATGCTCTCCAAAATGGGAAAAGAGGTTGACCAAAAACTCAAGTGGATGAGTTTTTAATGATATATCATTTATCAACATTTTAAAAATTCAAACATAATAATGTCTCCTAAATCACCACCGAATATAATTAAAAATTTAAATCCAGGGATTATGACAAATTTAATCATTTATCAATATATTAAATGGGTAGGCTTAGAATTTATATATATATAATATATTTTTAACCTCAAACTCTCTTTTATATGTATAATCTTTTAAGAGTCAAATTTTAGAAAAAAGTATAATTAAAATGTTTAAAAAGCTGGGGAAAAAACAAACCAATACGATTCCTTTGAGATTTTCCAAAGAGAAATGATAGTCCACCATGTCACTCTGCATCAATTGCAACATAATACCCACAAAATCCTTTTTAGATTCATCAGATTCACCACCAGCTCTCATCTTGGCCTTGTGTTCTTCAACCACCTTACTCAAAAACGCATCCAAAGTTGTGAACCATTTCTTCAGTTCCCCATTGAACCCTCTAACCACATCAATCCACCAAAGAGCAGGAAAGAAATCCGCAAAACAAAACGCCGTGATCAGCACCATAACCCTCCTCGATGTGTCTCCAAATCTGCTCTTCCCATTTTCATCCTCAAATTTCTCCCCCAAAATGCACCGAGACACTATATTGTTTGAGGTCGACAAAAACAGCTGACTAAGATTCACAGATCCCTCACCAACACAGCCTTTACGGATCCTGTTGACGAGCACAGCAACTTCCTCGTCTCTCACGTACTGAAACGACTCCACTCTTTTGGCGCTAAAGAGTTCAAGAGCGCAGATTTTTCTGGCTTGTCTCCAGTACTCGCCATATGGGGCAAAACCCACGTCTTTGAAGCCGTAAAGCAAGATCTTTGCAGCCACGGTTTGGGGCCTGTTGGAGAATTTGAGGTCGTGGGTCTTCATCAATTCTATTGCCATTTTTGCTGAGGAGACCACCAGAGTTGGGGCCTGGCCGAGCTTGAGGAGCATGAGAGGCCCATGTTTATCAGAAAGAGCTGCCACAGATTGGTGTGGGAGTGAGCCTAATTGGTGGAGGTTGCCGATGATGGGGAGTTTGGGCGGCGATGGAGGGAAGTTTCTGGTGTTGCTTTTGGGTTTGAAGAGCTTTAGCAACACAAGGAAGAAGAAGAAAATGCAGAGAGACCAAGGGATGAGATCAAAGTGAAGTTGCTGAAACTTTGATATTGGATCCATCTTCTCCATCAACGGTGTGGGTTCGAGAATTTCAACTTTGAGACTTTAGTATAAAGGGAAAAAAAATAGTTGACATCCATTCAAAACTCGTTGGATAATATAAAAATATATGAAAGAGTTAGTGAATAAAATAGTAATGGAAAGTGACATATGGACTCTCTGGAGCTATGTTCGGATATATATTACCAACCATTCAATATGAGAGTTTACTCCCACACTAAAAATAATAAATTTAATTTTAAAAATTATATTATTGAAATACACATAATTAAAATATTTTTTTGAAAAATGTATTAAACAAATTATTGGAACATCCTTTTATTTAAAATGAAGATCTAAATTATTGTTAGATAACCAATATATGAATTAAATTTAGTCAATCCATCAATTAAATTTATTCTATAGTTTTAAAAGGACCCAACATATATTTGCAGTTAATACTTAGTAGTAAATGTATATACATACGCAAACACGCATATCAATAGTATATTACCTACATATATAAGTAGTCAAATATATTACAGATGTATATCATTTGGATAAAATTATTATATTAAAATTGGACCTTTATTTTATTTAAAGTATTATATTTAAAAATATAAATATAATTATTATTTTGTTAATTTTAGTCAATGTTGTTACATATTTACAGCACATTTTTTAACGCGTGAAACCCATTCAGTAGTGGGGAATATAATGGGTTAACAAGAGTTTTACCCTTCACTCTCTCGAAGTTTTCTCGATGAGTAAAATCTTTCAAAGATTATAGAGAGAGAAGTTAATTTAATAAAATAATACACAGAATCATAGAGTGAAGAAGGAGACAGAGACAGTACATTTAAGCTTATTATAGAAACTAAAGCTGACAGACAGAACCTGCTGAAAAGAAACCACATGATGCATGACACAAAATAACATTATTTTATAATAAAGTGCTCCCACATGAGAGAATCTACTTTATTTTAATCAAATGTACGAGATATTGGGTTCAATTGGAGAGGAATTTTCTTGCCAACAGTGAGCCCATTTTCTTCTTCAACGTCCAATTCACAGCCATTAGGGAGCTTCCAATCGAACCAGTATAGAAGATTTGCCAATGCATATTCAAAGGAAGCAATCCCAAATGACATTCCAGGGCATATTCTTCTCCCACTCCCGAATGGAATAAATTCAAAGTCTTGACCTTTGTAATCAATTGAATTCGTCATGAATCTCTCCGGAATGAACTCGTTTGGCCTCTCCCAGATGTTGGGATCTCTGTGTATTTTCCAAGCATTCACAAAAACTCTCGTTTTTGATGGAATGTAGTAGCCTTCAATCTCCACATCTCCTATAGCCTCTCGTGGAACCAGGAGAGGAAGTGGTGGATGGAGTCTCAGAGATTCTTTTATCACACAGTTCATGTATTGCATCTTTCGAATGTCTTCCATTTCAATCTTCGCCTTGTTTCCAACTGTTTTTCTAACCTCTTCTTGGACTTTTTTCATGACGGATGAGTTTCTCATCAGCTCTGTCATCGTCCATTCCAAACCTGTCGCAGTTGTGTCAGTTCCAGCTACGAACATGTCCTGCATGCCATCCAAATCAGAAAAAGGATTGGTCAAAAGCTTAAAGTTGATGGGTTATAACAAATTTAATGATCATATATCAACGTTTCAACATTATGGAAATTCAAACACAAGGTCCCGTAAATCACCATTAAACATGATCCAAAAGCTTAAATTGATGGATTATGACGAATTTAATAGTTTAGACTCATTTATATTTTATAGGTAAAATCTTTTTAAGAGTCAATAGATAATAATTAAAGTATTAAAAAAGTAGGAGAGAGAACAAACCAATACGATTCCTTTGAGATTTTCTGAAGAGAAATGATAGTCCACCATTTCACTCTGCATCAACTGCAACATAATACCCACAAAATCCTTTTTAGATTCATCAGATTCACCACCAGCTCTCATCTTGGCCTTGTGTTCTTCAACCACCTTACTCAAAAACACATCCAAAGTTGTGAAGCATTTTTTGAGTTCCCCATTGATCCCACTAACCACATCGACCCACCCAAGTGCAGGGAAGAAATCCGCAAAACAAAACGCCAACATCAGCACCAAAACCCTTCTCGTCAGGTTTCCAAATCTGCTCTTCCCATTTTCATCCTCAAATTTCTCCCCCAAAATGCATCGAGACACTATATTGTTTGAGGTCGACAAAAACAGCTGACTAAGATTCACAGATCCCTCACCATCACCATCAACACAGCCTTTACGGATCCTGTTGACGAGCACAGAAACTTCCTCGTCTCTCACGTACTGAAATGACTCCACTCTTTTGGCACTAAAGAGTTCAAGAGCGCAGATTTTTCTGGCTTGTCTCCAGTACTCTCCGTATGGGGCAAAACCCACGTCTTTGAAGCCGTAAAGCAATGTCTTTGCAGGCATGGTTTGGGGCCTGTTGGAGAATTTGAGGTCGTGGGTCTTCATCAATTCTCTTGCCATTTTTGCAGAGGAAACCACCAGAGTTTGGGCATGGCCGAGCTTGAGGAGCATGAGAGGCCCATATTTATCAGAAAGAGCTGCCAGAGATTGGTGTGGGAGTGATCCTAATTGGTGGAGGTTGCCGATGATCGGGAGTTTGGGCGGCGATGGAGGGAAGTTTTTGGTGTTGTTTTTGGGTTTGAAGAGTTTCAGCAACACAAGGAAGAAGAAGATAAGGCAGAGAGAAAAAGGGATGAGATCAAAGTGAAGTTGTTGCCAAAATTGCAGAAAATTTGATATGAGATCCATTTGTGGGATTGGGAATGTAATTGCAATTGCTTCCCAACTTTATTTATATAATTCTTTAACTCTTGTATGGGGTATGGAAATTTTCTTGCGAGTACCCTTGAGAAAAAGAAAAAGAAAAGGAAAATATTCCTTATTATTACTATTTTTTTTGATATGTAGAGGTGGAAAACTCACGATCTATTTGTTGGAAATATATAACTGTTATGTTTCAAAAAAAAAGAAAAAAGTGTTTGCATTCAGGTACAAGACAAGGTAGTAGGTAATTTAAAATTTTGGTGACTGTGCATTGTCACCCACCTTATCATGGTTTACTTAACAGTATATACTACAATTCTTATAGCCATAGAAACAATTCAATATATACTACAATTTTTATAGCCATAACAACAATTTTTTATACATAAATATGTCTACGTTTTAAAGTTAAAAGAAATAAAAATAAATCATAGTGCCTTAATAATATAAAAGTCTTCATTGTCAACTTAAACATAAACATAACTTAATTCGTTAAGGTATTATAATATCGACTAAGAAATCAGAGAATCAAATATCAAACGCCATATATTGTTGAATTGAAAAACTTTTAAGTACCTAGTCTAATAATTTTCTCTTTTTTTTTTGAGAATATAAAAATCTAAAGGAGTAATTAAAGAAATTAAACGAGATGGAAAGTGACACCTAAATCAAGTAATTATGAGCACTTGTTTATAATTAAGTAAAAGGCTACCTTTTGGGGTTTTCCCTTAAACTTTATCATGAGATTTGTGAAAAAAATATTCTTGATTGATTTTTTCACATATTATATTGGTTTAGGTAGGATTATAAAGAAAGCTATAAATAATAAATAAATAATGAAAAATGAAACCGCAATGCTTTGCAAATAAAATGAGTTTTAAAATTTTAAAATAATTAAAATAATTATTATTACAATATTTAGATGCTAGCTATCTTTTGTTGCACCGCTCTTTTGTTCCATTTTTCCATTTCCTTTAATATGGACTTTCAAAATTAAATGGCATTTTCAATCCAGTTTTAGAGGTCTCAATTTCATGAAAATATCTATAAGATATCTATGTCGATGAATATTTCTATAAAAGTCATAAAATTTAAAAAATCGTAAAAATTATTTAAATTAAAAAAATAAATATTTTCCTATAGTTAAAAAAATTGATATCAAATTATATATATATTAGTGACATTTTGTTGATATTTTTCATATTTTATCGATTTTCTTGTACTATGATGGAAATGTCGACTTACCTCTCATGTTGATGTCGAACTCATGGAAATATAGATATGTTGATAAAAATATCGACGTATTAATAGATATTTAAAACCATGTTTTCAACTAATGATCGATTCCATGAAATCCAACGTTAAACCAGCATAGTACTCCATCTTCTCCATGGTCAAATATTAACCCTAATCACTCCATCCAACGGCAACAACTAAATTTGACCGCTTGATCTTGATTCATGTTTTGTTGAGCCATTACAATTAAAGAAAAAAAAAAACTTGGTCAAAGTTTCCACAAATAAGTTGACAACTTTTTCCTTCTTCCAATTCTTTCATCTCTTTTGTCTAATTATTCCTTCCTCTCTCACGTTTATAGCCCATCAACAATATCTCACACATCTTTTCTATCCGATTTTGAACCATTTATAGCCTCTATATCATTGGTACTTAGGGCCTCAACTTGATGATGATTATCTCTTTTCCAATAATTCTTATAAGTTTGTAATTATGCCAACATCACTTGAGTGTGTTTTATTAATTAATCTAGTAGTATTGGGGATCGCACCTATAATGAATTAAGAGTTCTATTTTAATAAATTTTAACTAAAGCGTTCTAGTGATTTTTATTATGTATATTATATAGTACGATAGTATGTATTTGTTTATCTAATGCATCGTCATGCATAAATCTAATTAGCATGATTAATTAACCATGTGATGAGAATGTCTATTGACTATTGATATCATTTGTTTTTATTAAATATGTAAATAGTAGTCTCATACTAATGAGAAGTAGTATGGATGATTTATAGACTGCAAATAAAGGGAAATAAAACAACTCTCTATAGACTCTAATAACATGAAATTTTTTAGATGAAATTAAAATTACATGAACTTAGACTTTCATTTTTAATACAATAAATATAGAGTGAGAATTTGACATCTCACTCTTACCAATTAAAAAAAAGTTGTAGTATGGCCATGGGCATCCTCGTCATTTTATCCCAACATATTAATAATAAATATTATTACTTGCAATTATTGAGTTTGTTGAAGGGGTTTTTTTTTCTCTAAATTAACATTGTTTTTATTTATTGGTAAAAAAAATGAGATACCTTTGCAAAAAAATCAAAATAAGATAATATATTTTAAGAAGTAGCACTAGAATAATTCCAAGTAGTCAAATCATGCTTTATTTCCCAAAAGGAAAAAAGTCGTCAAATCGTTGATTTGTTCTCAGAAAAAAANCAATCATGCGGCATTAATTTCAACGCCCCACAGAATAACCCACTCATTAAAGCTAGCCACTAATTCAGTTTTAACAATTAATCTTCTAATTAAATTTAAATTAATTCCCTAGACAAAATACCCAAGCGAAAAGTTTCTATTTTCTTCTGTGTTAGGAGTCATGGAAAAGAGGGAAGGTTTAAATAATAACCTTAAATTAACTCCATTAATTAAGAAATGTATATCAGATGTATTTGAAACTTATTATCACGTATTATCGTATTAAAAGATAAAATAGAAGAAGATGGGACAAAATCATGAATCACATTTAAGATCACCACAGGTTACCAAGGTTGTACAAAATAAAGCCAAAAATCGATTTGGGTGATCAAATTAATGGTTGGTCATTTGAGTATTGTTTCAATCCACGTTGATTTTGTAGAGATTAAAATAAACAATTGATCTAATTTTATTTAAATATAAATAAAATATCAAACGAAAAAATAAGAATTTGAGTCAAACATGGGTACTAAAATAGATATTTAAAATAAGAAAAGAAAACCATAAATTTAACCTACGTTCTTGATTTTTAACTAATTGCTTAGAAGCGATGAGTAGCTGAAGAAAAATATCCACTTTTATCACGTTGAACATTGATAAAACTGAAAGCATAAATATATTAACTTTTGGAACATTGGGGTGAGTAGCCTTTCTCAAAAGACTATTATGAAATGTAGTCTATCTTCTATTTTTATGTTTGGTAAACATTTTCTGACAGCATCCAATAAACTAAATGACCATTATGTCCCTTCACTACTTTGTGATAAATTTTTACTTTTCGTGAATCTGATTTTCTCTCTCCTTCTCTTTCTTCTCGTTCTTCATCTTCTTCTCTCCCTCATCTCTCTTCGGGTTCCTTCTCTCTTCCCTCTCCCTCAAACTTTCTCTATCTTCCACGAAGAAATGAAAGAAACCGTTTCGCTTTTTCCGCCATTCGAAAAACATTGCAGGAGTAAAGTAGATTTTGTTCACAATTGAGGATCGAAAAAAGGAGGTTGTTTTTTCCGCCTCGTTTTTTCCTCTCTCTTTTTCCGTTTTTTTCTATAGTCATTCCTCATTTGATTTTTTATTCAATTTTTTGTTTCCCAAAAAAAATCATAAACGCGTACACACAAGAACAAGTCCATTTGGTTTTGTTTCAAAAAATCATAAAGCATATACATAAGTCTTAAGAGCAGATTTGAAAATAAGTGCAGAAAAAGTTGCGGTCTCGCTCTGACTCTCGATCTCGCTCTAGATCTCGCTCTCATTCATGCTCTCGCTCTTTTCTGTCTTTTTCTCTCTGTTATCGTTTTCTTTCTCTTCTCTCTTATTCTTTTTCTTCAATCTCGTTTGATTTTCTCCATAATCGGGGTATTTTCTAGTTAGAAAAAAAGAAGTTCCTTATCGTACATAACCCAAATAGCTTACTTTGTTGGTCAAAGAATACTAAAAAAAATTTTCGAAAAAAAATAAACAGAGGAGAGAGGGATTTTTTGTTGATTCATGCGAAAACGGAAAAAAAAAAAGAGGTAGAGAAAAATCTAAAGAAATTGTTCATTTTAATTTTGAGGAGATTTGAAGAAAGAGAAAGTTTGAAATCCATAAATTTTAAAAATTTTGAAGAAAATAAAGGAGAAGTTTGAAATCCGTAAAAATCTAAGAAATTTGAAAAGAGAGAAGAAGAGATAGAAGGTAGAAGAACACGGAGAGAGATGTGGGAGAGAGAAGAAGATGAAGAATGAAGAGGAAGAAGGAAAGAGAAAATATGAGATTCAAATGAAAAAATGAGAAGGAAACTAAAAATTTTAAGTAGGTTAATGAAGGGATAGAACAGTAATTTGGAATGAATAATGATGTCAATGTTTACCAAACATAAAAATGAGGGGAGGGGCCATATTTCATAATAGACATTTGAAAAAGATTATTTCACTTTTATTCTTTTAACTTTTCTTAGTTGGTGTAGAAATATCAATAAAATAGTGAAAGTCACCCTTATTTGTTGTACTAAAAGAAACGGTTAAAATATTAAAAGGCATTAGATAAATATCAATTCTACAAAAAGCAATGATTTAAATATTGAGGAGTTTGACATCTCGACGAGTAAAATCTATATTCTCATCGTCGACTTGAAAGCATAAATTTTAAAAATATATATATTAATTTAGAGGCCCAGATTTCAAATAAAAGCCCAATTTGGAAGGCCCAGCAGCCCAAACACTACATGCTTTCTAAACGAAATGAACGGCCTAGCTATCTAATGGAAGGTATGGAATTTACACTTTGTTAGGAAACAAACTTATTTAGGAGGGTACCTATCACCTAAATTACAAAACTATTCTTTAGTATATATACATTAATATTAATTAATTTTTAAATTCCAGAATTCATTAATTGGAAGGTTATATTTTGAATTCTATGATATTTGCTTAAGCTACGATACCAAAACATCCAAAAATATCCTCAAATCCCTCAAATTTGAATACCTCCAAAAATATCACCAAATTCTCCAAATTTGAAAACCCCCAAATTCGAAAATAGTGATGGTCCGTTCTCCGTTCGTCGGGATTATTCTTCCGACTGCTTGTGCCTTCTCAGACGATTCACTTTGATTTTGTTTGCTCCTCCATTCGTCTGCTTCAATTCGTCTGCTCCGTCTGTCTCAGAGGCTTTGTATCCGTCACAGAGTTGTCCATCCCATTGTCGAGTCTGTTTCCGTTCTACCATCGTTCCATTTCTGTCCGCTCCTTCGTCTCCGGTTCCCACCTCCGTTTTTCTCCGTCGCTGGAGCAATTCGTCTCCGTTTATCCCGATCGAAAAGTTTGCATTCCAATATATTCTAATATATCCTTAATGTTGAAAACCTTGTTTTTTTGTACTGTTAAACCCTGTTCTTATACTTTTTTTTGGTATATATTCCAATATATCCTAATGTTCATTCTATACCCAGGTAGTATCCAATAGTTGTATATATAGGGTTATATGGGAATATATCTTATAGTGAGTTTGATCTTAGCATACAAAGGACCATAACAAATTTGTGCATTTCCCTTTTTGTGTGTAGAGATATATGGGGATATATCTTGGTTGCCTTGCACTCTTTACCTTTTTGTGTATAGGGATATATTGGGATATATGGGATATATGGGGGAAAACGTGCTCGAACGAAGAGGAATCTGTTGAATCAAATCTGAAATGCATCCAGCGGTGGCTTCCAACAACCATTAGGAATTTACACACGAAACAGAGATGAAATTGGATATTTTTTCCATTAATAATAATGGTAAATCATAGGAATAAATTTTTTTCGAAGGAGTGAATCAAGCAATTAGTGTTGAAATTTTGTACGGGGTCTACAGGAATATGTTACAAGAATATGATTACAATTTAGGGATTCAAATGTTTTAAATTTAAAAAAAAAACTATAATAAAAGTAAATGTAACATAAATAAGGGTAAAATCGATATTATAAAAAATCTTACATGCAAAAATCTAAAAGCGTAAAATTTGAAAACTTTAGACATTTGTGAAATTAAGTTTAAAAAACAGCGTTCCGAAATATATTATCTTCTGTTTTTTACCTCTCTTTGAGTGTCTCTCTTATATATCTTTTATTTTTTTATTTTTTTTATTTTTTCATTTGTATATATGATCTGTTATAGATTTGGTAATTGTGAAACCAAATGAATTTAATCTATCCATATTTTTATAACAATATTATTCGAAGTATGAAAAAAGCGTTTCAATAATGTTATCTATGGGTATATTTCTCATAATTCTTTTCAAAATATAAATTAACATTTACACATTAATATTACTTATATTTTTTGATATGGTGATATAGAAATAATGGCAAGTTATAGTCTCATTTATAAGTTGCAATCAATCAACATGAGCATCGGCTTAATTATATTCAAAAAGAAAAGCCAATCAGTGCCCTATTTACTAATTCTAATAAATTTTATTAATTTCTTATGTAAATATTATTTATATTTTCTAGATATGTGATCAAAATTTAGTTAATTAATTATAACCTAATTAAGTTAATTAATATCTCAATTGTTAATTTAAACAATTTTCTTTATCAATATCCACGTTCCATGATTTTCATGATCTTTTCCAAGATCGTTATTTATATTTTAAGATATGAGCAGATCCAGTATTTTGCTTATAGCGCTTCAAAATTTAGTAAAATTAACTTAGAAGTTAAATAATTCTTTATTTATAAGAATTATAGTTTTTTTGTATAATTAATTATAAAATAATTAAAAATCTAAAAATATTTTTTTATTGATTTCTATTTATATGTGATATAAAAAATGACAAAGGTAAATTATAATATTATATATTAAGTATTAGATAATTAATCTTCAAATTGTCACTTGTATAGAGTGCAATTTTTTTAAAGATGAGACATCACCGAACTACTAAAGAAAAATAGAAATTGAGTAGCTATGGATTCAAGAATGATAAAACAAAATCCTTATTTATGTTGGAAAAAATTGGAAACGGGAACAAGAAACAAAAAAGTTGTCCAAATTTCTATACAATTTTGAAATTGATAACAAAACAAAATTAGTATTCAAATGCTTAGATTTATTAATAACATTAAGAACGAAAAACAAGAAACAAAAACGATATTTTGTTTTTTTGTTGTTTCTAAAATTTCAATGTAGTTCTAGAAACATTTTAAACGACAAAAAAACAGATACCAAATTAGTCCTTAGATGTTGAAAATCCTACCTCGACATCCTTTGAACTTGGGTGAAAATAAAAGGAGACAAAAGTCCCTTTAATTCGTGCTAAATTTATACACATGAAAAACGAGGTGGTGTAAAATTTTCGTTATGAAAATATCTAACTTAGCTCCATTTACTACCAATGACCTCAGGTGTATTACAGAAACAAAGTCTCTTACTAGTTCATGAGAAATTTTGTTTTTTAGTATGACAGGATATAAATTTAAACTCTCTGACTTTATGTTTGGATACCTATACCTTAACCCACAGAATTATGTTCGGGTTGGTTATCACAATTATTTGAACGACAATATATATGTTAATGGTAGTTTTAAATACTTTTTAGTGCTCAATTTAAAACACACATGTAAAACACACAATGAAACTCCCAAATTACATAGTATATGGAATTGGGTTGAGATGAAGGGGAATTTTCTTGCGAACAGTGAGGCCATGTTCTTCACTAATATCCAATTCGCCGGCCATCTCCTCCGGCAGCTTCCAATCGAACCAGTACAAAAGGTTGGCCAATACATATTCAAAAGAAGCAAGCCCAAACGAAATTGCAGGACACTTCCTCCTTCCACTCCCAAATGGAATGAATTCAAAGTCTTGGCCTTTGAAATCAACTGAATTCTTCTCCATGAATCTCTCTGGGATGAACTCGTTTGGGCTCTCCCAAGTCTCGGGGTCTCTTTGTATCGCCCAAGCATTGATCCAAATGCTGGTTTTTGATGGAATTTGGTAGCTTTCTTCTAAGGTTACGATTCCCGATGTTTCTCGCGGTACAAGTAGAGGAGCTAGTGGATGCAATCTCAGAGACTCTTTTATCACACAGTTCATGTACTCCATCTTTTTAGTATCCTCCATCTCAATCTTTGTCTTCTTTCCAACTATCCTTCTAATTTCTTCTTGAACTTTCTTCATCGCTTGTGGGTTCCTCGTTAGCTCTGCCATTGTCCACTCCAAACCTATTGCAGTTGTCTCAGTTCCACCCACAAGCATGTCCTGCAAAGGCAAGAACAATAAGTATTCATCAGTTTCTTTTCCTCCTCTCAAAAAATTATTCAATGCAATAAACAGCTCGATGGGCATTTTCACTATTTTAAAATTCTTTCTCATACATCCAATGAAAAATCTTTTATCATTTGTTAGGGGTGAAATAAGTATAATACTTGGATTAAATCTTGACAATTCAAAAATTACAACTTGTCAATTTTTATAAAAAGTATCTGTTTTGTATTTCTCTCTTGGTTGTCGAATAATTTTCGAACCAACTAGGAAAGTTCAAGCAAAGCCAACAATAATTTGTGGTGTGCATGTGAGAGAGAGGGACAGAAACAAACCAGTAAAATTGCTTTGATATTGTCCCGAGAGAAACAATAATCAAGGGCTTCGTCTCGTTGCAGTTGAAGCATGATATCCACAAAGTCTTTCACATCGGATTGATGATCATCAGTTCTCATCATCTTTTCCCTATGTTTTTCAATAACCTCATCAAAAAATGCATCCAATGTTTGGAAAGTACTTTTGAGCTCTCCAATGAATCCTCTCAACACATCAATCCATCGAAAGCCAGGGAAGAAATCCGCAACACAAAACCCTGCCATTAGCACCATAACCCTTCTCGACACCTCTCCAAATCTGCTCTTCCCATTTTCATCCTCAAACTTCTCTCCTAAAACGCATCTCGAGACTATATTGTTCGAGGTTGACAACAACAGCCGGTTAAGATTCACTGAAGAAGAAGAAGAATCATTATCCTCAATACAAGCTTTATGAACCCTTTTGACAAGTAATGCAACTTCTTCGTCCCTCACGTGCTGGAATGACTCCACTCTTTTGGCACTTAAAAGCTCCATAACGCAAAATTTTCTTGCTTCTCTCCAGTACTCTCCATATGGAGCAAAACCCACGTCGTGGCATCCGTAGAGTAAGATATTTGCGGCTGTAATTTGGAGCCTGTTGGAGAATGTGATGTCGTGGGACTTGATGATTTCTCTAGCTAGTTTTGAAGATGAAATTACGAGAGTTGGGATGTGGCCTAATTTGAGGAACATAATAGGGCCATATTTGTTGGAAAGAGTGGCCAGAGATCGGTGTGGGAGGGTTTCTATTTGGTGAAGGTTGCCAATTATGGGGAGTTGTGGTGGTGAAGGAGGTAATAAGTTGCTGTTTTTGGCTCTGAAGAGCTTGAGTAGAAGTAGGAAGAAGAGGAAGATGAGAGAAAAAGAGATGGCATTATTGAAGTGATGAATTGTGGCTCCATGTGGGGCTTGGAGATTTGAGGATATTGGATCCATTTTTTCTCTCTTTTTTGGTATATTTGTAATGGCCCATGGTGCACGTGAATGCTAAACTGCATGCAATGTGACTCAAGCGCGTTTCATCGTGTAATGATTTTGTTGACTATTGTGTCATCGTGCGACTCTCTCTATCCAAAAATAGTGATTTTGTTGACTATATATCATGTGGAAGAATACTTAGTTCCTTAACTAAAAGAGTAATTTTACTCTCGTCACCGAATCTTTGACAATTCAGAGATGTAAAAATAGAGACTTTTTTATAAATGTGAATGAGTTTTTTAATTTTTCTAATGGTGGCGAGGATAATATTTGATCCTTACTGTTAATTTTCTACTGGTGAACGTTAAAATTGGACGATGATTAGTTTTACGTGACACTTATGATAGTTAGCAAGTTGGCAGAAACTTAGAAGAAAAATTAGGTTACCTAGGGGCCCTTTTGAAGTTCTCGTTTTTTATTTTCTTAAGATATCTAAGTATTTTGCAACTAACTATTTAAGTGTTAATTAGTGAGCACCTGTCTTTTTTTTACACTATAATATGTGGAGGTAGGGTATCGAACTCACATCCTCTTTATTGAAGATATATGTTAATTAACATTGAGCTATGTTCGCTTTAGCAATGAACACTTATCTCGCTGACCATCCTCTTTTATATTTAGATCTTATTTATAAAAAATTTAATGTTGGTCGGTGTAGGATAATTGCACGCCAATCACGAACCAATTATTTTCCTAAAACTAAAAACTCCACAGTTTTCGAACACCTAATTATTTTCCTAAAGTAAAAGTAAAACCTCCACAATAACTTTCAACAAAGAACGCCGTAGGCGGCGGCGGCGGCAGGGAATGCAAAGCAAAATTACATTACGATCAGACAGAGATTTGCCTGATCATCATTTTTAGAGTGCTTTTATTTTTCCTTAGAAATTGATTTTTTTTGTTTAAGGGAAAAAGTCCCCAATTCATTGTATTTAGAAAATAATTCTTTTCTTAGGGAGATTCAGATCACCTCAGCTTTTTTGTTGTTACAAATACATATACATTGCACCCACATTTAAAATTTTACATAATGCGATAAATATATATATTTCTTTCGCACATGGATAAGCCTTCTAGAATTAATATCACTCAATTGATCATATTATAATTATCGAGTGGTAAATACGGCAAACAAATTTAAAGATATAACAAATTTAGTATTTACATTTTAGTTTTGTAAATATATTAGAATTTTATAAAAAAAAATGGAAGTCCAAATAATAAAAGGTCAAATTTAACCTCGTATACTGATATACCACTTATATAACACTGGTATATATATTTGATATAAATTGGATATACCTTTGATTTGATTTGATTTACTGTTGATATAACAACTATGATATCCATTCATATAACTACTAATATGATTATATTATTTAATATTTATTGATTTATCATTAATATAGTTGTGATATATACTTGATATGTCTCTGATATACCACTGATATAATACTGACATACAATTGATTTACTTTTGACAGAACTACGATATCTATTAAGATAACTTCTAATATGATTTACCACTGATATATATGATATAATTATGATTTCTATTGATATAAAGTTTGATATGATTATATGATTTACTATTGATTTATCACACTGATGTACACTTATATATAAGTGATATATACTTGATATGCCTCTAATTTACTGTTGATATACAAATGATATACTACCGATATAACTATGATATCTATTCATATAACTTCTTATATGATTATATGATTTACCACTGATATAACATTGATATATCTGTGATATGTACTATTTAATATGCCTCTAATTTACCACTGATATATATTTGATATAACAATGATATCTACCGATATAACTATACTATCTGTGTGTTGATATAACACTAATATATCCATTAATTTTTTTTAGATGAAAAAAATGGTGCAAACAAAGAAAATGAAATCTAAAGTTATTGCATAAAAGATTGATATGGACCATGAATTAAAAAAAAAAGGTTAAAAATCTAATATACTTTTATAAATTTAAACATCGGATATCCCTTATATTTAGTATCTAATTAATATTAATATAGATTAAATAGTAGTGATATAGCAATTAAAATTATTAATAATATTAGTATATCAATCAACAAATTGCAACGATAAACTACAATTTAAACAATTGATATACCATTGAAAATTAAACATTTGATATACCTTATATTTAGTATATCAGTTACAAATGTATTTAGTATATCATAAAATTAGAGGTACATCATATGTATATTAGATGTATAATACGTACATCTGATGTATATCAGGAGTATATCGAATGTATATCAAATGTAGATTGAAACTACATTAGAGATACATCGGATGTAGATCAGATAAACATCGAGTGTATATCCGATAATATACATCAGGTGTATACCAGAAATACATCGTGCGTATAGTAGATATATATCGGACGTATCGTCTGATATAGATCAGATGTCATGAAGGTAAAATTGGAATAATAAAAATTCAAATATTTTGTTATATTTGCAAAATACAAAAGAGGTTAATGAATGCTCTGGTTCCCTTTCCTTCTGTGGGGAGGAAGATGTTGGAAAATATGTTTTGAATGAGATTGCTAATTTCAAACAAGTTTTGATTTCTTCATTAATTGTGACTAATGTCACAAGGGAGAGATTTTGGAAATTTCAAAACCATATTGGTAAAAAGGCCCACCATTTCAAAGTACTCAAGAAGGAAATACCAGCCTCCGGAAACGGGTAAAGGTAGCTTGATTGGGCTCCAAAAATATTGCAACTTTGCAATTGGGAAACAGAATGATGGAATATCATTGGTAAGAGGAGACTCCTAAAAGTCACAAACTGATTATAGAGGAACGTGCTAGAGAAGTTGATGTTGAGCTTATATCATTAGAGCCTGCTAGGTAGCCCTGTCGATCGCCATGAAAGCAGTATGTTGGAATGCCTGAGGTTTGGGCAATCCAAAGGCATTCCGAGTCAGATGTGACTCTTTGAGTTAGTGAAAATTTGAACGAAACTGGAGCACTAGACGGAGAGGAAACAACTCAAAGGAATTGTCTTGAAAAGCTTACCATTCATTATTGATACAATTCGATTTATACACACGGGAAGTTAGAAACACTAACCTCGTAAACCCACTAACTACAGCACTAACTTAGTGGGTTCTAACTGTTACTTAAACAATTGACAAACCGACATTACTGAACAAATAATAATAAAATACAGATAATAGTACAAAAGACAAATAACAACATATAAAAGAAACGGTGCATTTAATGAGAGATCTTAACATCCCCCCTCAAACTAGAGGGTGAGGGAAGAACACCGAGTTTGCCTCTCATCATAGTGAAGCTATGTTCTGACAATGGTTTGGTGAGTCCATTTGCTAGCTGGTCTGCAGAAGGGACGTATCTAACATCAAGTTTCTTTGCAAGTACTCTATCCCTGACAAAATGAATGTCAATTTCTACATGTTTGCTTCTTGAGTGAAATACTGGATTGGCTGCAAGAGATAAGGCACTAATGTTATCACACCAAACAACGGAAACTTTTGTGTGAGACTGATTAATTTCAGCAAGTAGTGACTGTATCCAACTAATTTCAGCAGCTGTATGAGCAAGAGAACGATACTCGAATTCGATACTAGATCTTGCTACGACATGTTGTTTCTTTGATGACCAAGAAACTAAAGCATTGCCAAAGAATACACAGTGAGCTGCAATTGATTTTCTATCATCAACATTACAAGCCCAGTCAGCATCAGAAAAAGCAATAATATCTAAAAAATCAGACTTCGGAATGTGAAGACCATAGAGTAAAGTTCCCTTTAGGTACCGAAGCACCCTTTTTACTGCTTGCCAATGAACCAATGTTGGTTTCTGGAGGAATTGGCTTAGCTTATTAATAATGTATGAAATCTCAGGTCTGGTGTGTGTGAGATACTGCAACGCGCCAATAGTACTTCGATATTTGGTTGGATCTGTCATTGGTTCTCCTTCATTAACTGACAATTGTTTGCTTGTGACTGTTGGAGTAGGACATGATTTCAGTGAGATATATCAAGCTTTTCCAACAAATCAAGTATATATTTAGTTTGAGATAAATAGAAACCATTGTTGTTCCTATGAACCTCAAATCCAAGGAAATATGAAAGCTCACCTAGGTCCTTAAGAGAAAACTCTTTGTTCAAATCAGTCACAAATCGATTTATAATGCCATTATCATCACCTGTCACTAGTATGTCATCCACATAAATCAAAACATATACTTTGACTTTTGTTGTAACATGACCAAATAACGAGTTATCAGCTTTCGAATTCTTAAATCCCCATTTGAGTAATACACTTTTCAGTCTGTCATACCAAGCTCTTGGAGCTTGTTTTAGTCCATATAATGCCTTATTTAACTTGCACACATAGCTAGGTTTCTTCTGATCTACGAATCCATCTGGTTGAGCCATATAAACAGCTTGTTCTAGATATCCATTTAAAAAGGCATTGTTTACATCTAGTTGTCTCACACACCAATCATTACTTGCAGCTAGAGTCAAAATAATTCTAATTGTTGACGATTTTACTACTGGACTGAACGTTTCAGTAAAATCAATACCTGGATTTTGATGAAATCTTTTAGCCACAAGCCTTGCTTTATACTTCTGTATGCTTCCATCTGAATTTCGTTTGATTTTAAACACCCACTTGCATCCAACAAGGTTGAAACTAGATGAATACGGTACTAGACCCCAAGTGTTATTCTTTTCCAGTGCCTTCATTTCAGTTTCCATAGCTTCTGTCCATTTTTCTGATTGCAAGGCTTCATTAACTGACCTGGGTTCTTGATTATCAGAAGCATCAGAATGACAATTAACATGATAAGAGAGAAAACTGTTGATTTTTGGTTTGAAAATACCACTTTTGGACCTTGTTTGCATTGGATGGCTAGAAGAGACTTGTGTGTTTATAAGGTCAGTAGAATGTGCAGGCTGCAAATTGGTAATTGGTATATTCTCAAGATGGTCTGCTGGTAAGTTTTCACAAATTGAATTGTTGTTGTTTGTTTGAGAAATTGGAAGCAAGGATGGTTCTATTGCAGTAAGTCTTCTTTCACTGTGTTGGTTTGCTTGTGAAGAATACGCTGGCAGAGAACTTGACATAGACTGAAAATTTGGACTGGAGGATTGAATTGTTGCTTTGGTTTTTGAAGACTCTGACACACATGAATTCTGAGTAGGAAAATCAAACCAAGAAACTATGGTATCATTAGACTGCTGTTTTGACAGAGAAGTAGTAAGGAAACCTGTTTTGAAAGGAAAATCCTTTTCATTGAAGATGACATGCCTAGAAATATACAACCTTCCACTTGAGCTTAAACACTTATAACCTTTGTGAGCTTCACTATAGCCTAGGAAAACACACTTTGTGCTATGAAATTGAAATTTATGAGTTTGATAAGGTCGAAGACAAGGAAAACAAGCACTCACAAACACTCTAAATGTTGAATAATCTGGAATTTTTGAATGTGCCTTCTCTAAAGGTGATATATTCCGTAGCACTAATGTTGGAAGTCTATTTATGAGATAGACTGCTGAAGAGAAAGCATCCCACCAGAAATGAAGAGGTAAAGCTGCTTGTGCTAGTAAAGTGAGTCCCATCTCCACTATATGCCTATGTTTTCTTTCTACCATGTCATTTTGCTGACTTGTATGTGGACAGGGGTGCCTAAAAGCAATTCCATTTTCTTTTAAGAAGTGGGAGAAAGATCTAAACTCTCCACCCCAATCACTTTGAAGTGTTTTTATTTTGCTTTCTAACTTATTTTCTACTAAGGCTTTGTATTGAGTGAATTCTTGAAAAGTTTCTCCTTTATGTTTCAAGGGAAATATATGAGTAAGTCTAGAATAATCATCTACAAAACTAATGTAGAACCTAAAGCCAGAAGTAGATACTATAG